CTCGAGGCAAAAAGCTCTTATGCCCCAGCGCCTTACTTTGCTCTGGGACATAAGAACTGGTTTGGCTGCTGAAGTTCCTTCCATTCCCACCTCCCTTTCCGCCACAGCCAAACATTACGCAGCAGCGCTTGCGGTCCCAGCCCTGGCTGCGGCGACGCAAGGGGCAGGACCATGACAACGACGACGACGACGACGAGGAAGTCGAGGGCGAGGACGAGGACGACGGCGACGACCAAGCGGACTAGACCAACCAGGTAGACCAACCAGACCATCCAGGTGGATTAACCAGACCAGCTTAGATGCAAAGAATTGCAATGCACCCCCAAAAAACAACAACAAACAACAACAACAAACAGTGCTTCCGTGGTCGTAGTGGTTGGCGCTGCTTCCCTGGACCTCCTCTACATCACTCTCGCCCGAATCCGAAGCTAGGTCTTCAGTACTAAGCTTAAGCAAGACCAACCAGATGTATGCGATCGGCGATCGATGTTGAGCAACTTACGCAGTGCAGTTCATGCTGTACCAAATATGGTGTTCGATCTATGTTGCGCCATCGGGGTGGCGCAGTCGACGTGTTGCAAAATATGTGGTGGTATACACGTGGTGCAACATATGCGGCGCAATCTACGCGGTGAGATCTATGAATGTGTAATATATGGGTGTGCATTTTATGGTGTGCACTCTATGCGGTGCGATCGATGCTATAAAATGTCGGTGTTTCGACATGAATGGTTCAAGCTATGTGGTGCAATGTACGTGATGCTATCTACGTGGTGCAATATGTGTTGTGCTATTCCTATCGCGCAGTCTACGTGGTGGAATTCACATATGCTCGCAATGAATTGTCGACTCCACTGCTCGCGCAATCGTCCAGCCCACCCATCCGCAACTCGGTTTGCAAAACCCATGCGTTGGCGATTGCGATGAGTGTTTGGCGTTGACTGGTGCAGCTCTGCGGCCGCGCTAGCCCGCGCATACTCGCGCGCGCAGCGGCCAGCTGGTGCGGCGCGACCGACGCGGCCGCGGTGGCGCTGACCGTGGGGGGCTCGTCGCAGTTCCCCTGGCGTTCCTGGCGTCTTCTCGCGTGACTTCTTCTGGTCCAGGAGGGTCACAAAACGGGCCAAGTGGGCACCAAGAAGCCTCCAGGACGGTCCAAGGAGGCCCCGAGTCGCCGCACGATCGCTCCAAGACGCTCAGGATGGCCCCCAGACGACCCAGAAGGCCTCCAAGACGCCCAAAGAGGCCTCCAAGAGGCCTCCCACAACAGGGCCCCAAGAGACCAAAATCATAGATTGTCCTTCGGTTTTTGAAAGATTTTGGCGTTCTCGCCTTGTCGGCTTCCCGACGCTTCCAGACGGCCCTAGAGGCCCCCAAGACCGTCCCAAGACGGTAATCTGAGCCATCCGCCTCAAAAGGCCCCCAGGAGGCCCAAGAGGCGCCCAGGATGCCCCAAGAGGCCCCCAAGAGGCCCCCAGGAGGCACCAAGAGGTCACCAAAAGGCCCACAAGAGGCCCCAAGAGGCCCCACAACTGCCACCAAGAGGAGGCGTCCAAACTGCCTCCAAGAAGCCCCCGAGAAGCCTCCCACAAGATCCCAAGGAACATCCAGTAGGCTTCATACCCGCAACCCAGGCACGGTGGCGGGATGGGCCCGAAGCCATTCGACCTGCCTGGCACTGGGACGGAAAGCGCGTGTACTTCCTGTGAGGGCGCGAGGTCGCTGGCGTTGTGTCTTGGAGCCCTGCTGGCGTGAAGGCTTCGGCACGACATTCAAAAGTCTAACAAAACGCATGCGGAAATCAATGAATATTGCAGTTCTGTGCATTCCTGGGGATCCTTCTAAAGCTTTTTGGGGCCGTCTTGGGGCCTCCTTGGGCCGTCCAAGGACCCTCTTAGGCCGTCTTGGCGGGCTTGGGCCGTCTGGGGGCCCTCTTGGGAGCCTCCTGTGTGGCCTCCTGTGGCCCTCCTGGGGATACCTGGGGAACCTTTCAGGACCCCCTTGGGGCCCCTCTTGGGCCGCCGTGGGGCTCCTTCGGGCCGTCGTGGACCCCTTTTCTGAGCCGCCTTGGAGCGGTCCTCTCAAGTTGTCCTGGGGCGGTCTGGGGAACCTCTTGGCCGTCTTGGGCACTGCGAAGACCACAGAAACCTACGTGCGCAAAAGTTACGTCTTCTTTCGGGAATGCAGCGAGTTCTGCCTCTTGGGGGTCCCCCTGGGTGGCCTCCTGCGGCGTCTCGGGGGCCTCTTGGGCCGTCTTGAAAGCACATTTGGGGCAATCCTTGAGCGTGCATGAGCCATCTTCGGGCCCTCTTGGACCTCTCCGACGCCGTATGCAGGTAGCCTGGGCGCTCTCAGGGCTGTCTTGGGCCGCCTTGGGGGCCTCTTGGGGATGGGCCATCTTGGGCCGAAAAATTAAAGAATCAAGCCAATCTAGCAACCAACCTTGCCCTTGGGGTCGTCCCGAGATCCTCTTGGGGCGTCTTGGCGGGCTTGGGCCGTCTTGGGGCCCTCTGGGGGCCCTCCTGAGTCCCCTTGGGAACCTCGTGTGGCCCTCTTGGGGCTCTCTTGGGAACCTTCTGGGGCCCTCAGAGGCCTCTCTTGGGACGTCTTGGGGCTCTCCTGGGCTGTCTTGACGGTCACTTGGGCCGTCTTGGGGGCCTCTGGGGCCGTCTTGGGGCGGTCTTGGGGGTCTCCTGGGCCGTGTTGGACGCTGTGAAGACCAAAGAAGCGCATATGCTAAAAACGCACGTTTCCCTAAAGTGGCATGAGACGATGTTTGCCTCTTGGGGGTCCGCTAAGGTGGTCCCCTTTGGGGGCCTCTTGGGCCGTCTTCGGGGTCTCTTGGGCTGTCTTGAAGCCATATTGGGCCCTCTTGAAGCGCTCTTGGGCCGTCCTCGGGCCCTCTTGGACCTCTCCGACGCCGTCGTGGAGCTACCTTGGGTGCTTTTGGGGCTGCCTCGAGCCGTCCTGGGGACTCGGGCCGTCTTGGGCCGAGAACTGCCAAAGATAGGGCCATTGGATCTGGGGCTAGGACTGCCTGCCTCGAAAAAATACGAGGGAAACGAACCATTAGACCAATGCGCCCGGGCCTCACCCCTCCCCTGGACCCCTCCCTACAGGGCTTCGCCCCCTGCTCAACGTCACCCGCTCGCACCTCGCTCTTTCCGTCATCTGGGGCTAGGACTGCCTACCCACCACGCCCCTCCTTGTCATTTCTCTCGACCAATGGATCGCGACGCTACGCGCACGTTCCGTCATCTGGGCCCGGAACTGCCTACCCCCCCGCACCCCCCCTCGCTATTTCTCCCGACCAACGGATCGCGACGCTTCGGCTTCGGCCCCGTCCCGCCGGCCACCCGAAAAGGACCGCACTCGCACACAACGTCCAGAAAAAGCCGGCCAAGACGGCCCAAGATGGCCTCCGAGATGCGAGACGGCCAAGATGGCCTCCAAGACAGCTAAGATGGCCCCAAGATGCCTCCCAGACGGCCCAAGATGCACCCAAGACGGCCTCGGTTGGCCTCAGGATGGTCCGAGGCGGCCCAAGAAGCCCGCAAGAGGCCTCCAAGACGGCCCCAGAGGCCTCCAAGATATCCTCCAGGAAGGCTCGAAGAGACCAAAAGAATCGATGCTCCGTAGGTTTTTGACGGATGTTGTCATTTGCTCTTTTTCAGCCTTCAGACGGCCCAAGAGGCCCCCAAGGCAAGATCGCCCAAGAGGCCTCCAAGATGGCCCCATGACGGCCCAAGAGGCCCCAAAGACGGCCCCAAAAAGGCCCCAAGAGGCCTCCAAGACGCCTAAGATGGTCTCCACGACGGCCCTGAAGCGCCCGAACAGGGCCCCAAGTCGGTTCAGAGAGGCCCCCAGGACGGCTTCCGACGGCGTCAGACGGGTCAGGAATGCCCTAAGACGGCCAAAGAGGTCCCCAATAAGCCCCCAATGGCCCCCAAGAGGCCCCCAAGAGGCCCAGAAGGCTCACATGAGGCCTCTAAAGGGCTCCAGGGAAGCTCCGCAGAGGCCTCCCACGACCTCCGAAAAGGCCTCCCAAGAGGTTCCAAACAAGTTTCCTCCTCCTCCTCCTACTCCTTCTCTTCCTCCTCCTCCTCCTCCTCCTCCTCCTCCTCCTCCTCGGCCTCCTCCTCCTCCTCCCAATCATCCTCATCCTCATCCTCATCCTCATCCTAATCCTCAGCCTCCTCCTAATCATCATCCTTCTCCCCTCCTGATCCTCCGCCTCTTGCTCCCCAACGCGTTCCCTGAAGGCTTCCAAACTGTCTCGGGGAACAACTGGCCCCATACCGATAGCTTGGCCAAGCTCCAGCCCAGCTGTCGGACACGCAGGCGCCTCCAACAAGGCAAGGGGACGGCGGTGATTCGCCGTAGGCGTCTTCGATGCGAATGCGCTTTTAAGTCAAATATCTAACCATGGGCACGATCACGATTTTGCTTCGCAAGGTTACAAAGGTAGACTCAGTACACGACGCTACATAATGAGCAAGCTTGGCAGACCGGTACTTGAACGTCCAAAGATGGACGCTGTCCCAGGTCTCGTCTTACGAGGCATGGATGGCAGCGTGGTCGACAGTCTGTGCATGAGCATCCCTCGGAGCTGGCCGAAACAACAAGCGAGGGGATGGATGCTGCAGACTTATCAACAAGTATCACTGGATGCCTACTGAGCATGTGATTGGCCAAAGCATCATCGCCAGATAATGCTTGACAGAAGCACTACTGAATTCTTCCGGGGAAAGAGAAAGAAGAATGATAAGAAGAAGCATACGGCAGGTTCGTGTCGTGCCGACCCCGGCGTTGGTTCCTGACACCGCGCTGGATCGTTCAACCTTGAACGATCGGCCGTCTCCGCAACGTCCAATCGTTCAACATCGACCGATTCTGGGCCGCCGCCGGCGTTCAAAGTTGAACGCCGGCGGCGGGGTCGCCGCCGGTCGACACGACACGAACCTACAGTACGAAGACAAGGGAGAAGAAAAAAAGACAAACACGCGCGGGAACGGCAGGGGGGGAACACCGACGCCGCTGCTCTGCGGACTCTTCCCGGGGCGCGCTCCGACCAGAAAATTCGACGCGAGTCCAGCCGTGGCGACGAGGAACGAGTAGCGGCATCGAGTACCAGCATCGCTTCCCTCCCTGGGCGGAAAGTCAAGGTGGGGAAGGGACAGTGAAGGGGGCCTGGGACACACAAATAAATACACACAAATAAAAAGATCCCCCGCATTTCACCATATTTTCTGGGTTTTTTGTCTTCCCCCCCACTTCCCATGTTTTCACATATGTTCTGGGGAATCGACGATTAATTATGTCTGTGTGATGTTTCCCCTCCTGGCACTGGGCGGAAAGTCAAGGTGGGGAGGGGACAGATCGGGTGAAAAGCGCCGCGATGCCGGCGGCGAGCAACAAAACGCCCTGCGGATTCGGTTCCGCACTGCGGCAAGCCAACTCCGGGACAGGAGAGATCGTCCCCATCGCGGCGTTCGGGCGTGCAACCCAGGAACACCCTGACGCTGGTCTTTCTCCCTCTACATCTTCGAGAACAGAAGAAAAGCACAGACATAAACTCTCGAGGCTCCAGAGTGGCGCGCTGAGCACGCTGGGGGCGGCGTCAGAGTCGCCGCCCAGGGGGGCCTAGCACCAATTCAAGAAATCTACACGGATCCCCGAGAGTTTATGCGTATGTTATGTTGCTTTTCACTTTCGTGTCCCAGCGTACCGACTGAAACTTGACGGGCATGAATAATCCACGGCTACGGCCCTCCCCCCCCCAAAAAAAAACCCTGTTAAAAAGATCGCTCCCCCCCCGCTGGATGTGTACGCTCGCGAGCCTCGCGAATGCATCGCGACTGGGATAGCCCCTATCCCCCTGTGGCCGTGGCCCTGTACGCGTGGCGTTATGGTGGGTGCCGGTGCCCCCCCTTCCCCCTATGGGTGTGGAAGGGTTCGTCGTCCTCGTCATTGTCGTCGTAGGCGTCATGATCGCCTTCCGTCGTCGTGGTCGTTATCGCCCATCGTCGTCGTTGACGTCGACGTCGTCGTCGTCCCGTACAGGCGCGGCGTTGTGGTGGGTGCCGGTGCCCCCCCCTTCCCCTGTGGGTGTGAAGTGGTTCGTGGTCGTCGTCGTCGTCGTCTTTCGTCATCGTCGTCATCGTCGTCGTTATCTTCCGCCATCGTCATCGTCGTCGTCACCCGCCCCACATCCCTTCTGGCGGGGGGGGGAATTTGGGACCCGTGCCATCTGGGGCGGGCATCTGCGAACGCTCGACCGAAGATCATGCATTCGCGATCTCACCCGCAAGGGGGGGTCACGCAGAAAAGCTGGTCATTAGGACGCCGCTGGCAGCTGGGAGGCCGAATGAGGGAGCGCGATCCACCGTGGCTGGAAAGGAAAGACATGTCAAGCTATGACGAACACAAACAAGCTGGGCGCGCGATTCAAAACCTGCGCCCCTGCTCGGGCGCATCGCGACAGGGCGCCCGCCAAATGGAAACGCACCACGGCGGCGCCAGCGATTGTAGCGCCGACGCGCGACCGCCAGCGAGGAGGCGACAGGTGCAGCAGCGCCTCCGCTACCGCGGGGCGCACGGGCCAAAATGGCCACGGACTGGGAAGAAGGAGGAGGCGGCGGGAGGGAGGGGCAGCAGAGGCAAGGGCCGTCGCGCTGTCCGCAACCGTCGCCGAGGAGGATGGTGACCATGAGGAGGAGGAGGGTGAGAAATAGAAGGATGAAGAGGAGGAGGAGGAGGAGAAGGAGGAGGAGGAGCAGGAAGAGAGGGAGGAGGAGGAGGAGGAGGAGGAGGAGGAGGAGGAGGAGAAGGAGGAGGAGGAGGAGGAGGAGGAGGAGGCGGCTCCCCGCCGCCGCAGTGTTTCCCTGCTCCACAGACGAGCGGAACTCTCGTCGCCATGACCTCGAGCCTCGAGCAGCGCACGCTCACAGGGCCAGTGCGACAGGCGGCGCGCACCGAAGGGCCAGCGAACGAATGAAGTTGCTTGCCCGTGGGTCAAGGCACACATGCACTGCGCTGCACTGCGCGGGCGTGCTCCCCCTCGGAGGCGGCGCGTCGTTCGTGCCGTTTCTCCTGAACCGCAGCGCAGTGGCATCCCGAGCCCTCCGAGCCCTGGCGCGCGCGATACAAAATAGTTTCGCGTCCCGCGGGGTCTATTCATCAGCCTCTGACATTGCAAGGGTGAGCTCAGAAACGGGATTCCCCCCCCCCCTGAAAAACATCCGAGGGGAGGGGTCAAACCCAGGGGAGTCCTCCCCGCCAAAAACCTCTCTCCGCCAACCGCCAACCGCCCGCCTCCCGCCAACCAACCGCCCCACTCCCAGAAAATTGTTGAGCGGGTCAGGCCTCCCCCGCCCCCAAAAAAATCATTGGAGGGGTCCAGAAACCCCCCCCCGCCGCCGCCGCCGGCAGACGACGACGACGACGACGACGACGACGACGACGACGACGACGACGACGACGACAACGATGCCGACAGCCGACGTCAACGACGACGACGACGACGACAACGTCGCCGCCAGCAAAAGACGCGGGCGACGACGACGCGGCAAACGACGCGAACGACGCGAACGACGCGAACGACGACGACGACGACGACGACGACGACGACGACGGCGGAAAACGAAGACGACGCCGGCGACGACGACGACGGACGACGACAGGAAAGAAGAGGACGACGGCCGCCAGCCAACCAGAATCCTCAAACGGTACCATCATCGTCGTCGTCGTCATCATCATCATCATCAACATCATCAACATCATCAGCAGCAGCATCATCAGCAGCATCATCATCAGCATCATGATCATTATCGTTGTAAGCATCGTCAGCATCATCATCATCAACATCATCATCAACAGAATCATCAGTAGCAGCATCATCGTTATCATTATCAGCACCATCATCAACATAATTAGAATCGGCATCATCATCATTATCAGCAGCAGCAGAAGTAACAGCATCAGCATCAGCATCATCATCATCATCGTGATCGTCATCATCACCGGCTTCATAATCGTCTTTACCAGAACCCGAATGATCCCCATCATTACCACCAAGACCATCATCATCATCAGCATCAGCATCAGCATCATCGTTATAAACATCATCGTCGACGTCATCATCATCGTCATCATCATCGTCATCATCACAATCGTAATCTTCTTCATCAGCATCAAAATCATCGTCGTATGTATCAGCGTCGCCATCCACATCGTTATCCTCATTGTCATCAGAACTGTAATGGTCATCATAGTCGTGGTCCTCAACCTTTTCCTCCTCCTCCTTCTCCTCATCATCATCAGCTACGTCATCGTCATGACAATCCGCATCATCATCAGCATCATCAGCATCACCGTTATCATCAACCATGTCATCCACATCATCATTGTCATGTTCAACGTCACCCTCATCAACGCCATCATCATCACACTCATCATCCGCAACATTACCGTTATCGTCGTGGGCATCTTCATCAACATCATATTCATCATCTTGGTCAGCATCATAATCGACAGCAGCATCATGATATTGACAATGATCATGATCAAGATCATCAGCAGCAGCCGCAGCCACAGCAACATCACCAACATCTGCATCACCATCATCATCATATACAATATCAACAACATCATCAACATCATCATCAGCAGCAGCATCATCATCAGCAGCATCAGCATCAGCATCATGATCATCATCGTCGTAAGCATCGTCAGCATCATCATCATCAACATCATCATCAACAGAATCATCAGTAGCAGCATCATCGTATCATTATCAGCACCATCATCAACATAACTAGAATCGGCATCATCATTATCAGCAGCAGCAGAAGTAATAGCATCAGCATCAGCATCATCATCATCATCGTGATCGTCATCATCATCACCGGCTTCATAATCGTCTTTACCAGAACCCGAATGATCCCCATCATTACCACCAAGACCATCATCATCATCAGCATCAGCATCAGCATCATCGTTATAAACATCATCGTCGACGTCATCATCATCGTCATCATCATCGTCATCATCATCACAATCGTAATATTCTTCATCAGCATCAACATCATCGTCGTATGTATCAGCGTCGCCATCCACGTCGTTATCCTCATTGTCATCAGAACTGTAATGGTCATCATAGTCGTGGTCCTCAACCTTTTCCTCCTCCTCCTTCTCCTCATCATCATCAGCTACGCCATCGTCATGACAATCCGCATCATCATCAGCATCATCAGCATCACCGTTATCATCAACCATGTCATCCACATCATCATTGTCATGTTCAACGTCACCCTCATCAACGCCATCATCATCACACTCACCATCCGCAGCATTACCGTTATCGTCGTGGGCATCTTCATCAACATCATATTCATCACCTTGGTCAGCATCAGAATCGACAGCCGCATCATGATATTGACAATGATCATGATCAAGATCATCAGCAGCAGCCGCAGCCACAGCAACATCACCAACATCTGCATCACCATCATCATCATATACAATATCAACAACATCATCATGATCGACATCCTCATCCTCGGAACCCTCATCGTCCTTATGATCATCCTCAGAATCATGGTCGTCCTTGTCGTCAGCGTCATCATCATCCTCATGGTCAGTATCATAATGTTCGTCCTCCTCCTGAGCAGCAGCATCGTCATCATGAACATCACCAACGTCACCCACAGCAGCACCATCAACATCCACAGCAGCCTCGCCATCAGCATTACCGACGACATCAGTGACAACACCATCATCACCATTAAAATCATCACCTTCACCACCATCCCTACCCTCGTCGTCGTTCACCGCCAACACCACCAAGCGGGCGGACCCTGACGGGCGGGCCGGGTCGGGCGGGCGGACCCTAACGCGCGGCTCTGCCAGAAGGCGGTCCCTCGTGGGCGGGCCGAGCCGGGTGGGCAGACCCCGCAGAGAGGGGTCGGGCCACGCGGGCTGGACGTTACAATACGACGCATCATCGATCTAGCTCGGGTGTTGCTAGAAGTGCCCCTGGCCTAAGGTGCCCCCAGCTTTTCGCTCCATTTTGGAGACCCTGGGGTTCTCTGGGCCTTGTGAGGGATGCTCTGGAGGCCGTTTGGGCCAACGGCGAGAATCTTGGGGGCACCTTGGGCCAGGGGCACTTTTAGCAACACCCGATTCGCACGCGCGAACAGTAAGGGGCGGGTAACAACGGACGGTCGGACCTTACCTGGCGGGTCGGATCGGGCGGGCGGACAATCACGGACAGGCCGGGTCAGGAGGCCGTGCGGACCCTGGTCGGGTCGAGCGCGGGCGGTCGCCGTATCGGTTCAGCGCGCGCGAGCCACAACGGGCGGACCCTGGCGGGCGGGTCGAGTCGCGCGGGCGGATCCTGAAGAGCAGGTGAGGTCGGGCGGGCGGGGCGTGGAGGTATGACGCATCATCGAGTTAGACGCGAAACCTGACGGGCGGGCCAGATCGGACGGGTGGATCATCATCATCATCATCATCATCATCATCATCATCATCAACATCATCATCACCACCACCACCACCACCACCATCATCATCATCATCATCATCATCATCATCATCATCATTATCATCATCATCATCATCATCATCATCATCATCATCATCATCATCATCATCATCATCATCATCATCATCATCATCATCATCATCATCATCATTATCACCGTGTACATCATCATCAGCATCAGCATCATCATAATCATCATCACCGTGATCGTCATGTACATCATCATCATCATCAGCAGCAGCAGCATCATCATCGTCATCATCATCAGAATCATCATCACCACCATAACGATCATCAACGCTATCAGCATCACCACCATGATCAATCAGAATCAGCAACAGCATCTTCATCATCAGCAGCATCATCAGCATTGCCATCGTCATCGTCATCATCCTCCCTCTCCTCCTCCTCCTCGTCATTATTATCTCCGTCGTCGTCATCATCACCACCATCATCAAAATCATGCTCATCATCAGCGTCATCCTCATCAGTATATCATCACCACCACCACCATCAATACAATCAGCATAAGCACCATCATCATCAGCAGCAGCCTCATCATCCGAATCCTCTTCAACAGTGTCACCATGAGCATCATCATCAGCGGCAAAATCACCATCATCGTCATCAACATCATCGGCATCAGGATCACAGACAGCATCATAAGCATCATCATCAAAACCATTATCATAATCACCAGCATCATCAACAACAGCATCATCGTCTACAGTGCAATCCGCAACATCAGTTTGCTCGCGCACATCATCAGCATCGTCACCACCATCATCACCATATCACCGCCATACCATCATCAGCATCAACATCAGCAGCATCGTCATCGGTATAATGATCGTCCTCGTCACCCTCCTCGTCATAATCATCATCATCATCATCATCATCATCATCATCATCATCATCATCATCATCATCATGAGTAGCAAGATCCGCCACATCGGCACTGGAATCGTCATTGCAGCCTGCAGGCCTCGTGCGCATATTCATCATCATCGTCACGATGCCCACCTGCATCATCATCATAATCATGATAAGTAGCATCCTCATCAGCCTGATCGTCCTCGCTGTCATCAACATCAACATCGTCATCCTCACCATCGTCGTCGATGCCGACGACAACGACGACGGAGATGACGACGACGGAATACGGATAAGTAATAAGAACCATCATCATAATCATCATGATAAGCATCCTCATCCTCATTCTCAACATCAGCATCATCAGCATCACTACCTTCATCATCACCATGATCACCATCATAATCGTCATCCGCATCCCCATTCGTGTCCTCATCCTCAGCTTCAATACCATACTATGCTAATCATCCACATCCGCATCAACATCAGCAACATCATAATCAGCCTCAACAACAGCAGAATCGGCATCATCATCATCATCATCATCATCATCCTCATCATCATCATCATCATCCTCATCATCACCAACATCAACGTCAATATCATCATCATCATCATCATCATCATCATCATCATCATCATCATCATCACCATCATCATCATCATCAGCATCATCAAACATCACCTTCATCATCATCATCATCAGCATCGTCAGCATGATCGCTGTCATCGTCATCGCCATCGTCATCGTCATCATCACTATCAGCATCATCCTCACTGTCATCATCAACATTACAACTGAACTCAACATCGTCATCATCATCCGCGCCATCATCATCACAATCCTAATGCACCGCATGATGATCGTAGTCATCAGGGTCGTCATCATCATCACCCTCATCATCAACAGCATCAACAGCATCATCATCATCATCATCATCATCATCATCATCACCATCATCATCATCATCATCATCATCATCATCATCATCATCATCATACTCATCATCAATATCAACATTAGCATCAACCATCAACATGAACATCATCACCGCCATAACCAGCATCATCATCATTGTCATCGTTGCCATCGTCATTGTCGTCCTCATCATCGTCATCGTCGTCGTTTGCGTCGTCGTCGTCCGTCGTCGTCGTCGTCAGTCGTCATTTGCTGGCGGCAACGTCATCGTCGTTGTCGACGACGTCGACGTCGACGTCGGCGTCGTCGTCTTCGTCGTCTGCCGGCAACGGCGGCCTGAGGGGGCAGGCTCTGCACCCGCCAGAATTTGTTTCCGCTGGCGTGGGCGGTGGGCTTCTGAACCCCCAGAGTCTGGGGTGGGGTGTCGCTGGTGATTGCAGGGTGGATCAGTGTTGCATGGCCTTGCGGTGTCTCGGGGCGCCCCTTGATTTCTGGACAATGGGGTCCAGGTAGTGAGACATGACCCTGGCGCGACCGCAATGTGAAACAGGACCAGCTACATATTTTGCTCCGGATTAGCCGAAGCTTAGAACAAGCTGGAAAAAGTAGGTTGTAGACACGCTGCCACACTTCATCGGGTCGCGCTGCAGTCCATTATAAACTCATGTGCTCTGCATTCAGCGCATCGACGTGCAGCGCAGTGCAGCGCAGTCGCATTACACTGCCCAGCTCGCTTTGCTTTGCACAGCTTTGGCTTGCTTCGTGTTGGCATCATTGACATCTGGCTGGCTTGCACTGATCCGCGCCGATGTTGCCTCGGCTCGCGTTGATTTGCACTGCATGGGATGTCGTTGCTTCCACTATCGGCCAGGCATTCTAGGGGGGCACATGCGAACCCTACCCGAGCGAAGTGAACCCCACCCTCCCCCTCCGAAATCGTGGGGGGTATGAGGTAGGGTTCGCATGTGGCCCCCTACATTCGCCCCCGGTGCGACGCACAAGGCAAAACAGCCCGATGGCATCCGCGAAGAAAGCGTGGCAACGGCGCGTGGGTCTGACCACCACGCTCGGGCCGCCCGACCACGCCGGGCACCCTCTGGGGGGTTGCTTGAGGTATCCCATGGCCCAAGGTGCCCCCAGCTTTAAATCGGGCCTGTCCCTCTACAGGGGGAATATTCAAAGAGAGTAAGAAAATAGTCTGGGGACGATTTCCTGGCAATTTCTGAAAATTTTCGGACTATTATTTAATAGTCCTAATCTGTCGCCCAAAATACCCCTGTAGGAGGACAGGCCCGACCGAATGGGGGGAAACGCTTTAAAACACTTTCTGGGGCGGACGATTAAAACAATTGTTTCTCGGGTCGGGCGAAAGGGGGGGATAGCAAAGGGGGGGTTTGAGAATCAGCTCACGTAGCTGATTTTCCTGGCGCCTCCCAGCGCCGGAGGCGCCCATGTATCGAGGAATGGGCCCCTCGGTGGGGCCGAAACCAGCTGCATGCAGCAAATTTCGTAACCCCCCCTTTCCCAATCCCCCCCTTTCGCCCGACCCGAGTTTCGCGCGCCTCCTCTCCCCCGCAATAGCGGGGGGGCAGGGCAGGCAGACGGGGGGCTGACAATTCCAGGTTGCCTGGAATGCCAGGGAGGGGGGTCACGGGGTGGCGATCCAGGGCGCGGGGGCCAGGGGGGTGGACGGGGTGATTTTTCAGGGCGAGCTCGTCCTCCTCCTCCTCCGCCTCCTCCTCGTCCTCCTCCTCCTCCTCGTCCTCCTCCTTTTCCTCCTCCTCCTCCTCCTCGTCCTCCTCCTCGTCCTTTTCCTCCTCGTCCTCCTCCTCCTTTTTCTCCGCTTCCTCCTCCTCGTCCTCCTCCAGTTCGTCCTCCTCTCCCCTCCTTTTTCTCTTCCTCCTCCTCCCCCCTCCTCCTCTTCCTCCTCCTCATCCCCCACCTCCCAATCGCCGCGGCCGTCCGCAACGACGAGGGTGATCAAGCGCCTCTTCGAAAACCCCTTCCCTCAACTACTCCCTAATTACCCCGTCCACCCTCCGCAATCCTCCCCCCGCGGCCGCGGGTGATCAAGCGAGCGAAGGAGGACGAATAGAAAATCAATTCCTCCAAAGGGGCAAAAGCAAACGCCGGGGGGCGGACGATAAAAAAAACAGTTCCCGGCGGCTGAATTCTATTAATCCGCCCCACTCAATCATTTTGGGGGGTCCGTGGGGGGGGGCGGGGCGATTTTTTGAATCGTTTCCCCCTATTAACCCAGCTTGCCGCTCCACTTTGGAGCCCCTGGGACCCTCTGGGCCTCGCGAGGGGGCTCTGGAGGCCGTGGGGGGCCTCCTTGGACCAGGTCGGGCATGTCCTCCTACCGGCGGATGTTGGAGAGAGACATACAACGTAGCCCAAAGATGATTCTCAAACATGGCCGAAAACAGTCGGGAAATTGTCCCGGGGCCACTCCAGATTTCGTAATAGAAGGGAGGGGGTCTGGACCCTCCAAGACAAGCCATTTCAGACCTCCCCCGTGGGAGAACCCTCCAAAACATCGTCCCCAGACCCCCCCAGGCCCTCCAAGATAGCCTGGAAGAGACCCCCCCCCGAAATGAGACCCCCCTCCCTTTATTACGAAATCTGGAGTATGTTTCTACTATCCTTGCATGCTCCTCCTGCAGAGGGACACGACCGACCCAATCTCTGGAGCTCCTGGGGGCACCCTGGGCCGGGGCCCTTTCTGGCAGCACGCGCCGATGGTGCACACCGCACCCAGCCCCTTGGCGGCCGGCTACGCCGCGCCGCCGCGGGGCTTAGTTCGACGCCGCCGATGCGACTCGACTCGGCTTCGACCGCGAGCGTGTTCTTATTCGGCGTTTCGACATAGGGCGGAAAGGGGTCTCCTGCTCCGGACCCCTGAGGGATGCGACCTCTTGCCACAGCGCGTCCTACGGGGGGGGGATCCCATCGGCTCGAAACAGGCGCAAAGAACGGCGAAAGATCTACTCCATGGGAGGGGGGCAGGGGGTGGGTGCGAGGACCCGCGCCGATCGGCCGAACAATGAATAAGAAAACGATCACACGGCCTCCGCCTCCGATTCGAGTCGCATCGGCTCGGAACTTCCACCCTGCCACGCTCCAGCGACGCCCCCTCGCTGCGGGCCCGCCTCGATGTGGGCCTATGCGCTCCTGCCGCACTCCTCGATGCTGGCGGCGGCAAGCGTGCGGCCAGCCTGGGAAGAAGGCCTTGCCAGTGAGCCGAACAAGGCTGGTGGCTCGAAGATGGGGTCCTGCGCTTTGTGGGCCCCGGAAACGGCAGGGCCGTTTTTTCACCGTTTCCATTTAAAAGAATGTCCTTTGAAAATGGAAACGGCAAAAAAACGGCGACCGGAAACTGAAAAAAACGGCTCCAGGATTGGAACCGGAACCGGAAACGGTCAAACAACGGCGACGGAACCGGTAGAAAAAGGCGTCGGAACCGGCAAAAAAATGGCAAAACGGCAAACGGAACCGAAGGTCCTGAGGGATGGGTCCTAAGAATAGGAACGGATCCAAGGGCGGATTTACGGTGCTCGAGGCACCTCCTTAGAACCCCATCCCTCAGGGCCCCGTCTCTGAACCACCGACAAAAGGCGGCACGACAGCCCTGCTCCAGGGCAACCTCGGCGACGCACACCCCATGGGCACAGCGACGTTCCGCACCAGCTTCCACCCGCTCCGCTCTAGGCGCGTACGACTTGCGGGACGTGCCGAACGGCAACGACAGATCATCGCCATGGGCCATGACTCAACGTTGAAGAGCAATCGTATCGACTGTGAGCAGTGCACTGGTGACCACCGCGAGCACCCTGACCGAGACAGGCGCCGTCGGCCCAGCCGCCGGCTGCCTCGAGGATGCGGCTTCCTCGCAGAGCTTGGCAGCGCTGGAAGAGGCGAGAAGGCCAGTGCCCTCCGCTGCGTTCCGCCGCGCTGTTCAACGCCACCCTGGCAGAGACTCGGGCACCTTGGCTTGCGACCCCGCACGCCCAACCATTCCCGATGCGGGCCACGAACAGGTGGAGCTGGAGCTACCTGCCCCGCCGCATCGCACGCTCTGCCTACTGGATCCAGCGCCAGCAGCCGCCCCCATCGGGCGCCAGCCAGCACCGCCGCACAGGCGCGTTGTACCACGCAGGCCCGCGCGGAGGCCACATCTCCAGTCTCCGCCACCTCTCGCGCAGGCCACGCTCAACGAGTCGAGCAGGAGCCCGCGGGCATCGGCGGGTGGACTCCGGGCAAAAAGCTGCCTGGAGTGCGCGCGCTTGTGCCGCACGCTTGAGCCCCAACGTCCTCAGCAGGAACGTATGCGGATCGATCATGTTCCACATGTTTGAAGTGGCTCGTACCACGACGTGCACCATCGGACCACGCCATGGGCCGCCTCGCCGCCCTCTCGCCCCCAAGAGGAGACCCAACCGCCCCACAGCGCCTCCAAACACTGGTGGCAGGCCTGAGCTGCATCGCACCGCGAGATCGGAGCGCCTCGCCAGCGAATCGCCCCGCATCGGACCGAGATCGGACCGCCGCGCCCGGCTCTCCGCACGGCCCTGGACGATGTGCCGGCGAATCGAGCCGCCCAGGCGAATCGGATCGGAACGGCGGGAGCAGCCAGCGAATCGAACCGCCCTGCTCCTCCTCCCTCCTCCCTCCTCCCTCCTCCCTCCTCCCTCCTCCTCCTCCTCCTCCTCCTCCTCCTCCTCCTCCTCCTCCTCCTCCTCCTCCTCCTCCTCCTCCTCCTCCTCCTACCCAATGTGGCACAGCTCCGCATCGCTGGCCCGCGGCCGCGCCGCGCTCGCTGCGGGGCGATGCCAGGTGCGCTCTCGCAGCAGCGCGGCGCCGAGGAAGAAGCTCGCGGGGCGCCCCTGGCGACGCACGCCGCGGCGGGCCTCGCGGCGGGTCACTCCCAGGCGGGAGTGCGCCCGCGCACGGCGGTGGCGAGAGCAGGCGGCCTCCCGCCACGCCGCCTTCCGCGGCTGGCGCCTGGCGCCGCGCCCGCCCCGAGGCAGCGGCGGCGGCGGCGAGGGCGCCAGGGCCGCGGGGCTGGCGCCGCGGGCCGGGGCTCGCCTCTCGGCGCGGCCGCGGCGGGGAGCGCCGGTGCGAGGCGGCGGCGTCGCCGCCCTCGCCCTGTGCCTGCCGAAGCCCTCCCTGGCGCAGCTGCGGGCCTCCCTCTCCTCGCCCTCGACGCTCGCGGACGGCGCGGGCGGCGCGCACGAGCTCGACGAACTCTCGGGCCGAGGGCGGCCGCCCTGCGCGCCCCGGCGGCGGCGGCGCGGGCACGACGGCTGCTCGGGAGAGTGCGGGCCTGGCGGAGGCCTCCGAGGCGCCCGGCGCAGCGCCCGCGGTCCGGGCGGCCCACGGCGCCCTCCTCCGCCTCCTGGAGGCGGCACGGGCGCGCGAGGCCCCGCCGTCCCCCGCGGAGCAGGGCACCGTCGACGGCGTGCGCGCGTGCGCGAGGGCTCGGAGGCGGAGGCCTCCCTGCGGGTCGTGGCTCACGCCCGCTCGTCGCGGCGCCGGAGGGCGTCTGGCTGTCGGGGCCCGTCGTGGACGCGCCCGCCAACGCGTGCGGTGTCGTGCTGTGGGTGTGCCTGGCCGTCCTCGGCGGCTTCAGGTGTAGCCCCCATTCATTGGGCGCTCGCCCCCCGCACGGCCCCCGTTGGGGGGCGTCGGTTCCATATTGCGTCTGGAGTCGTATTCGTGTCTCGGATGCGCCTCCATAGGCTCGCAACCTCCTCCTCCTCCTCCTCCTCCTCCTCCTCCTCCTCCTCCTTCTCCTCCTCCTGCTCCTCCTCCTCCGCCTCCTCCTCCTCGCATCGGATCGCAGGCGGCCCTGACTGGGCTGGGCGGGCGGCGGCAGCGAGCGTGTCCCCCCCACGAAGCTCGGCGACGTGGCCCCCTGGAAGCCGCAGCTCGGGGGCCCGAGGATCGGCCAACAGCGCAGCGTGAGATCGGATCGGAGCAGAAGGTCTGCAGGGTCGGGGCCGCAGCGGCACGGAGTTGCGATCGGATCGCGTCGGCCACGGCCAGGGTGCACAGCACCGCCGCGCAGCCGTGGGGCCGCGTCGGATCGCAGGGAGGTCGGAAGCCGAGTCGAGGCCAGCGTCGATGCCGAGGCGGATGGATCGGATCGAAGAGGGCCCTGCCAGGCCACCCCTCCCCCTAATTATCCCGAGGTCCCCTGGGGCCCGACGCCTCCTCGGCGCCCTCACGAGGCGTCCAAGATGTCTGGGCTGGCCTCCAGGACGGCCAAGGTGAGCCTCCAAGGACACCCAAAGGACCCAATGTGCACCCAAGACGGACCGATGTAGCCCCAAGACTGGCCAAGACTGGCCGCAAGATTGCCCGAGGGAGAGCCACGGGGGCTCGAAGAGAACTCCAGCATGGCCTGAAGAGGAACAACTCACGGATTCCCCGTTCGCGTTGGATGGGCGTTCGCGTTCTCATATGTTCAAGACGGCCCATGGGTTCAAGACGGCCCAAGAAGCCTACAAGGTGGCCTCAAGATATCCCACGAAGGACTCAGGACATCCCAGGAGGCCAAAACAACTTCGTCAAGATTGCCCGAGAGGGCTCCAAGGCAGCCCCAAGCCGGCCACAAGGGGCATCAAGACGGCCCTACTGAAGGGGCCCCAGGACACACAAATAAATACACAGAATTAAAAGGATTCCCCATATTTCCCTTATATTTTCTAGGGTTTTGTCTTCCCCCCCACGTCCCATACTTTCCCATATCTTCCGGGGAATCGAAGATTCATTGTGTCTGTGTGTTTTCTTCCCTCCTAACCTACGAGATCGCGAGGGGGGCTGACAGCAGCAAAAGGTGGTCCCAGAGACGGACCTCGGAAGAACCGGGCGGCCCACGAGGCGCTCACGGACGGCACACGGAGCCCCCCTAAGAGCCTCCCAGGCGCCCTCACGAGGCGCCCCCACGGGGCCTCCAAGATGCCCCTCGGGAGCTGGAGACAAGAGTCGGACGTCGCCCGGGACGTCCTCAACACCTGTGCTGCTTGTTGTTGTTTTGATATGTTCTCTTTTCGTCGCCCCTCCTTCCTGTCCTCCTCCACAATTACACAATATGAAAATACTCTCCCACTTCCCCTGATGGCGTCCGGAAGATATTCGGCACCCCCCCGCGTACTGTTTTTTTACACACAGGATTCCCCGGAGTTGGGTTTTCGCTTGTGTTTTTTTCTAAAATGCTGCTCTCGCTGAGGCGCCGGCCTCATTTCTGCTCCCGAATCGTTCCGAATCGTGCTCCCGCTGCAGCGTGGGCCTCATTTTCGGATCGGTGTTTGGCCTCCGTCGTTGAGGATGGCGTTCTCGCCCCAGCGCGGGCCTCTTTCTCGCGCGCCCATCCGCCCGCCACCACCGCGCCGCACCACCACCACCACCACCACCACCACCACCACCACCACCACCACCACCACCACCACCACCACCAGCACCAGCACCAGCACCAGCACCAGCACCCACCACCACCACCACCAGCACAGCCAGCACCACCACCACCACCACCACCACCACCACCACCACCACCACAACCACGCACACACGCACGCACGCACGCACGCGCACCACCACCCACTAGTTACGCACGCGCGCGCGGAGCCACAGGTCCGCTGCGACACGCGTCCGCGGATAGAGAAAATCAGCGCCATGGTAAGGGATGGGAGGGAGGGGTAGGACGTCAGATATGACGCGAGCGCACCTAGCTTGTCCTGCCCCCCTCCCCCTCCTCCTCCTCCTCCTCCTCCTCCTCCTCCTCCTCCTCCTCCTCCTCCTCCTCCTCCTCCTCCTCCTCCTCCTTCCCTCCTCCTGAACTCTAAACTTTGAACCGTCGGCTTCGCTGGCA